GAGAGGATGTTTGTCCTTCCTCTGTGGGAAATGGGTCTTAGGTGACAGAGAGAACCTGATTTGGGGGAAAATCTTGGCTGGGGTAATGAGTACACACTACACTCTCAACACTCTTCTGCCTTTACTATACAAAAAACACAGCGGCATGGAGCTCACTCTGACTACCGTCATTAGGCTACAAAAAAAAAGCCAGGGCTGGCTAGCCTCTCTGTGAGCCCACCCTGGTTGGGATCTGCTTCTAATTTCAAACCTCAATTATCAGAGTCTTCTCTGCTTCTTGAGAAGCCCACCCACCTTGCCTCTTCAGATAAACACTCACGTCTCATCCATCACACAGTTGGCAACAGCAAGCTTCGCTCTTTGGGAACGGTATCAGGAGGGGCTAGGGCAGGATAACAGCTCTCTCAACCACACCCTGAAGTATCTAGCCGGGCTGGGCAGAGTTGAGGAGGGGAGACTTTTCAGCAGAATTAAGCAGCCCAGGCCTCCCTGGCAAAGGAGTCAGGACTCTGGGTTCTACACTAGGCTCTAAAGTCCCTTTCCTCTTTAAGCCTTGGTCTCTCCTGTGAAATGAAGATATACCTTCTCACTGTGGAAGATACTATGTAGTACAAGTGAGAGAAGGTCTGCTTATAGCAAGGAGCCCTTCGGAGGCCAATGAAGACTGTCCGGTCAGCCCAGGGACATGGTCTCACCGTGAAGGCTTCTGTGCTCCCATCTATCCAATTTCTAACCACACTTGAGTCCTACAACTCTGACAGTGGAGCCAAGAGGGATGTGGCACTAAGCCAGGCACCCTGTGGCCAGAAAACTAAGAGGCAAGTCACACCTGCAAGAGGAGGTGTCTCAGCTGTGATGTCTGTACTCTGACCTGTTTCTGCCTCAATATTCTGACCTCAGTGGAATCACCGAAGTCAGCTGCGCCTCAGGAGTGTCACCTGTGCCTCAGGAGTGTCACCTGTAAAGGATCAACATGTGTTTCTGTGCGATTCAGCTATGGTTGTACAGAAGTATGCCAGGCAGTTAGGACAGTGGGGGAGGCACTATTCTAGCAGTGTCCCCAAACAATAGCCCCCTTCAGGATGGATGGCCCTAACATCCAGACATATTCTCCAACTGCAGGATCTTTCATTGTTGGTGTACATGCTCAGTGCCGTTAGGCTGAGCTTGAGCTGATATAGCTAAGATGGCAATGATGACTGCTACCACCTACTGCTATATACCAAGTGCCTTCCAACCCTTCAAGCCCTGCAGGTAGGTATTAGTATCCCCATATTAAAAATAACCAGAGAAGTTAATTGATTTTTCTCAGGTTACACAGCTGGTAAGAAATCTGGGAATTTGAACTCAGGTATGCCTCACTCCAGGGCTCAAGCTTTTGCCTCTATGTACCAACCTCTTATTCTTATCTTAAGGAAGCTTGGGCTGGATGAGAAAGAAAAAGTATTGCTAGAAACAAAATGTTATGCAGGAATACAAAAAAGCACAGAAAATCAAGTGCTGGCCACATAGTCAGGAGCCACCACATAAACAGACATGAGGGACACAAGTAGCCAAAGCCAAAACACACTGCCAAGTA